GTCTATGCCGTCTATGCCGTCTATGCCGTCTATGCCGTCTATGCCGTCTATGCCGTCTATGCCGTCTATGCCGTCTATGCCGTCTATGCCGTCTAACCACTTCCGTCTAACTATACTGTCTAGCTATGCCGTCTAACTATGCCGTCTAACTATGCCGTCTAACTATGCCGTCTAGCTATGCCGTCTAACTATGCCGTCTAGCTATGCCGTCTATCTATGCCGTCTAACTATGCCGTCTATGCCTATGAATTTAATCCAATGTTTGGGGCTTCCATAGTAATTGGGTTCTGAACTGATTAATTTTTAGGTACATATTGTAACGAGATATATCTTCCAAGATATCCACTGTATTCCAGTAGCAACAAAATCCGAGTTTGGTTTTATTCTGATGCGTCTGATCAGTTCCAGGGATTCAACGCGTCCTTTACAAGTATCAAAGAAACCGGTAAGGCTTGCTGTTTGACCCTCAAATGGTTTTCGGATGTTTTTGATTGGATATTGATATTCGTAAATCACGAGAAATCATTAGATATTCATAGTATGACAAGTATATACTCTGTGGACAATTTACCATGGGTACTAAGTATGTTCTTACTTTTCATAGGATGCGGAGGACATTTAACATCGTCTACAGGCATCATCACATCTCCTCGTTATGGGATATCACCATACCCCAGCAACATAGAGTGTGAATGGATAATAACAATAGATCAAGACAAACACATCAAGCTTTGGTTCGAAGCGGTTTCCATTGAACTCACCACAGTCAAATGTATTGACAAGATTGATATCTGGGATGGACCAATAAACAACGAGACATTCCTTGGAAGGTATGATCGAGGTCCCATTCTTATCTTTATATATTATATTTCAATCTATAATCAGACTTTATCAATCTCCTTATTCTTTTCTGACTTAGTATTTGTCAAAGCACAAACCCGATCTACTCCAAGAATAACCGACTGAGGTTCAAATTTGTGACGAACGCTGAAGGTCGTGGCCAAGGGTTTTTAGCAAGATACTCCAGCTCACTTACGAGAGGTAGGAAGGCATTAATAATATTATGCTATAACATTATACAACATGTACAACAATATGTAATATTATACATATAATATTACAACATATGATGAAGATGAGGAGGAGGAGGAGGATCCTGATGATGATGATGATGATGCATGATGATGATGATGATGATGATGATGATGATGATGGTGATGACGATGATGGTGATGGTGATGATGGCGATGATGATTATGATAATGATGATGATGATGGTAATAACGATGATTATAATAATGATGCATAATGGTGATCGTGATCATGATGATATGGCAAAACGTTTGCCTACCTTGTACATACATACATACTTATACATAAATAAATAAAAATATAAAAAATATTTTAAAATATAATTTTACAGGCTGTGGAGAAGATTTTGAAGAATCGAGAGGTTTGATAACGTCACCTAACTACCCTTATAGCTACCCGACCATGGTGGAATGCATATGGCGCATCAAAGCTCCACAAAACACTTACATCTCGATAAGGTTCGTTGAGTTGGTTGGAATGAATAGTACGAGCCAAGCTTGTCCTTTGGATCATATTCAAATACTGGATGGATATGACAAGAACTCCAAGTCTTTAGGTATTTGATAATTAAATACACCCTTGTTATACACAACTCTATGAAAGTATTTTGATTAAATGCTATGCAATGCTTACCGAAGGCTTCTTAGAAAGACCACTCTTGGATGCTCTCTTTTCGTGGTCATAATAAACACAGTTAATAAACAACTGTATATATTTGTACGAGTATATTTTATATTTCTAAACTTTGACAAACGACTGGCATCGTAACACAATATAATAAGGTTTTTTAATTTCATTGCAGGGACATTCTGTAGCTTCAATCTGCCAGGAGTAATTACGTCCAGCAGTAATCATATGGTAGTTCGCTTCCAGTCCACTCTCAGCATGACACCAGGAAGATTTCGTTCGCTTTTCCTTATTCATTCCAGAGGTAAATGAATATCACCACGTATAGAAGAAACATATCATGTAATATCATATTTGTCGTGCATGATAATATATATCTTTTCATTTCATCTCAGAGTGTAACGCATCTCTTGGTATGGAAGATGGACGCATAGACTACACACAGATTTCCGCTTCGTCTTACTCTAATTATTATTATGGATCAAATGATCAAAGATGGTCGCTCTTGCCAAGATTGGGTCGGTTAAATGGAGAATATGCATGGTGTAGTCAGGTATACTCAAGATATATATACTCATCTAGTGATCTTATTTCAGTGCGCGCACTACCTGTAGGGGATATATATGCATGGTGTAGTCAGGTATACTCTAGATATATACTCATATAGTGATCTTATATCAGTGCGCGCACGACCTATAGGGGATTATATGCATGGTGTAGTCAGGTATACTCTAGATATATACTCATCTAGTGATCGTATTTCAGTGCGCGCACCACCTATAGAGGATATATATGCATGGTGTAGTCAGGTATACTCTAGATATATACTCAACTAGTGATCTTATATCAGTGCGCGCACCACCTGTAGGGGATATGTATGCATGGTGTAGTCAGGTATAATCTAGATATATACTCATCTAGTAATCTCATATCAGTGTGCGCACCCACGTATAGGGGATATGTATGCATGGTGTAGTCAGGTATACTCTAGATATATACTCATCTAGTAATCTTATATCAGTGTGTGCACCACCTGTAGGGGATATATATGCATGGTGTAGTCAGGTATACTCTAGATATATACTCATCTAGTAATCTTATATCAGTGTACGCACCCACGTATAGGGGATATGTATGCATGGTGTAGTCAGGTACACTCTAGATATATACTCATCTATTTATCTCATATCAGTGTGCGCACCCACGTATATTGGATATATTCCATAGTGTATGGCTCTATTTCTAATGATACAAATCATTGTTTTTCCTGGCCTATTCTATATCTTACAGGCCCAGGGAGAGAGGATGATAGTTGGCGAGTATTTCCAGGTAGATCTCAGGAACCTAACAATGATAACAGCTGTTGCTACCCAGGTATGTCATGTTGCTACCCAGGTATGTCATGTTGCTACCCAGGTATGTCTTATTGCTACCCAGGTATGTCTTTAAAATATTTATATACTTTAAAATCTATTTATAAGGGCTTCGCTCATCGGATCACAACGCAAATTGGACACGAACACATAGACGTTGTCACTTGGTACAAAGTAGAATACAGCTATGACGCAAAATATTGGGTGGCTTACAGTGATGGTAGCGTGAACAGTACAGCCAAAGGATATACGGTATGCACCACCCAACAACATGAATATATGGATAATATATACCTCGACCAGTACAGTGGAGCATGCAGGATTCTTCTTTTAATTATTGTTGTTTCTTGTCGTTTGTTATTATTCAAAGGAGTTCATGGGAAACTACCATTACCCAACCATCATCCGTAACGTGTTCAATCCTGCTATAATAGCCAACATGATCAGAGTGATTCCGACTAACTTCATCAGTAACTTTGGACGTCACATGTGTCTACGCCTAGAAGTCTATGGATGTCCGTATCACTTAGGTAAGCATTCAAGGCCGGCTAGAGAGGATATTGCCATAGATGTATATACAAAGATGAAATGCAATAAATACATTGAGATGCTTGTCTTAATATTTAGGATGTGGAAAGACCATATCAACCAAAGATCCTGGTGAAATTAATGTACGTGGGAATGCAGACAAGAAAACGAGCTGTATCTGGGTATCTAGACCCAGTCCACCTGTATTCAATGACCTCGTTACGGTGTTGACCTTCAAACTCTTCAACCTTCCCTGTAATGCTGGATATCTTAACTTACAGGTTTGTATTGCCTGTATTTCATTTGCTAGTGACACCTGTTGTACACTGTTTGCTAGTTACACCCGTTGTATACTGTTTACTAGTTACACCCGTTGTATACTGTTTACTAGTTACACCCGTTGTATACTGTTTGATAGTTACACCCGTTATGTACTGTTTGATAGTTACACCAGTTGTATACTGTTTGCTAGTTACACCTGTTGTATACTGTTTGCTAGTTACACCCGTTATATACTGTTTGCTAGTTAAACCTGTTGTATACTGTTTTCTAGTTACACCCGTTGTATACTGTTTACTAGTTACACCCGTTGTATACTGTTTGCTAGTTACACCCGTTATATACTGTTTGATAGTTACACCAGTTGTATACTGTTTGCTAGTTACACCCGTTGTATACTGTTTGCTAGTTACACCCGTTATATATACTGATTATCTCTATTCATTTTTCCCGGTGCCGGGCAGGAGCAAATGTCAGGCAAATCATCCAAGTTCTGCGATAACAATTCACCTAGTACCTACATGATCAGAGCATCTGAACAGTTTATTCTGAGTGTAAACATGAAAGAAGGCACAGCAGATAAAGGCTTTGATATCAAGTATCACACGGAGACCCTGGGTAAGATGTTGGTACATTCATACGCATTCTTCCTGCCCTTTGGTCCATTTGTAATAATTTATTTCCAACGAGTTTGTAGTCCGTGTACATTTGCGCCTTTACCTTATCATTAGATGTGTACGATCGATGAAATTTGGCGCAGATCATAAAAAGAAAAAATTTCTTTCTGGCTACCAATACCCCTTGGTCGTCACCCTTTTTTTTCCACTGGACCACGGTTCTAAAAAATTTGCAGGAAAATAGCAATGAAAACAATGCGCCAGATTCTCTCCCCTGATGCCTTTAGGGCTAGAACACTATCCTGCGTAATCCGTGCAAACAAGGGCAGAGGGATTTAATTGCCGTCAGGTCCGAAGTCCATACGTCGCCTCAGCTCTGCGGATGTCTCGGGGGTATGGCATTGTGGTAGGTGCAGTTTTTTTTTTGAAGTAATTAAACCAGGCAGCTCTGAAGACATGAGTTCGATTCCCGCTGGTTAAGAGGTTTAATGTTTTTTATTTTTTTTTCAAAACAATTTTTTTAAATATAATAAACTTTTCAACAGGATGTGGGGAAATCATAAATATAATAAATAATGGTACAATCACGTCTCCTCGCTTTCCAAAAAACTATGGAACAGATCAAAAATGCGTGTGGATTCTTGCTGCTAAACAGTCTGCCAAGATAGCAGTACACTTCAAAGAAATCAAGCTGCAAGATCCTATCAATGGAACAACATGTTTGGATTATGTTCAGATCAAAGATGGACAACTAGGTAGGGCTATCAGTTATTTGTGTGTAGACAACGTTAGCATGTGAGGAGCTGCCCTAGACTTTGCATGTTCCCATGATTATACATCAATGTATTATTAGTATTAATCAGACTATAATCTTTTTACCAGATGCATCCCCCATTGTTAGCCGTCATTGTGGAGACACTTTACCTCTTATGTTCACCTCATCAAAAAACTTCCTACGAGTGGAGTTTTATAGCGACCAAGCTATTGTTAACAAAGGGTTCACTCTAGAGTACAAGTATCTATTACCACCAACAGAAAGACAGTATAAAGGTAATATACGAGTACTGCTCGAGTACTGGCCAAGTACTTTCTCTGAGAGGCGGGGTGCGCATGCGCAAGACATACTAAGAAAAATAGTTTCACAAAAGTGAACTTGTCTTGCTATGTTTTTCATTTGATTTTTCTTTCTTTCAATAGATTTTTCCCCATACATCGTTTTTTCTAAGGAGGAAGTTCCAGTACATTCATCAGCATCACGAATGGACACATGCTTTCCACACTTGATATTAATGACGTCAACAGTGTTATGTGGAGTGTTCTCTCTCCTTTGAAACTGTTGTTTGGATATCACTCAGTTCTGTGTAGGTAGTGAGACAGAAGAATAGGAATAACGTCATAGGTAGACTTGGCTAGTATGAGTCTAGCGTAGCTAGTAGCCAAGCAAGTGACATAGTACGTGGCTATAATATTAGCAAACCTACTTGATGTCTACTGATATTCATTAGAAGAACCGCCCTCACAGGGGCGGATCCAGGGTTGGTAAAAGGGATGACTAGCCACCCCCCTTTTTCAAATTTCTCAGTATTTCGTTACTAACAGCAACCCCCCTTTTCCTCGCATTTCTGGTAAAACCTTTGGATCCGCCCCTAGGTGACCACCATGATTCAGACTTTTGCCTTATAGTCAGTTCATCAAATAATATACTGTAATGAATTAATTTAGTTCTAAAGGCTAGGTCTCTGCGTCAATGTCCCTTGAGGGATACTAGGTTCTTCAGGTTTCATCTGCAGCATATACGGCATACAGTGCCATTGGCCAATAAATCTCGCCATTAATATCCAGGGGCTGGTCCAGGGTTAGCCTCCTTTGCAGCCGCTGTGAGGCGCTTCCGGTTCCCGTCCTTCCCCCACTAGCGTCTGCTCAAACTTGAACAACATTCCTTTCTTCATTGTTTTCTATCAGCCAATCAAATTGCTAGGTGATATGCAATTTTTTTATTTTCCCGTGCAAAATGGCATAAGAAAGTTTGCAGTTTATATTTGCACATGTATCACGTAAATGCGGAAAATACGACCAAAAAAGTTTCGAATTTTAACGATATATGTTTTATATGTAAGAAAGAGGAATCTAAGAAAAGCCGTACAAGAATATTTGGTAGAAGYCAGTTGGATATCCCATGTATATTAGAAAGACTTGGTGGATTGAAAGACCTTCAAGACTACGCCGAATACAGTACCAAGGTCAAGGTCATACCCACAAGACTTTGTGGGGCTCTCTCTGATTTGTCAATTTTGAAGAAAGGAATGTTGTTCAAGTTTGAGCAGACGCTAGTGGGGGAATGACGGGAACCGGAAGCGCCTCACAGCGGCTGCAAAGGAGGCTAGTCCAGGGTTGGATGGGGTGGGGGTTCTAGTTACCCCCCTTCGAATATCTTATAAAGAAATAAGAATAACGGGATAAAACCTAAGCCTATAACAGCCACCACTGGACTGAATATCCAACTGAATACTGCAGGCAACATTGCAGGCTCTCGATCAGAATTGTCGTGATATATTTGACCGTATGTTTAGGCTTTTAGAGTTAAATAGTTGTAATGAATAACTTATTTTGGAAATAAAGTTTTAATAGTAAAGTGCAAAGAGAGTCGTGATTATATCTATGAGACCCGATTTAAAACTTGAGGTAATAACGCCCTGATATCTCATTGTTCATCTTCGGGAACTCAGCGGTAAAGTTCTGAGGGTTCCCGAGGATGTTCATTATCGTACTCTTTCTACAATTATCAATCATCACCTATGTAAAGAACCCTTTTTGTAGTCCTATTACCTAAAAAAATGTGAAAATGAAGTTGAAATTATTAAAATCGGATTTAAAACCTTTAGCAAAACGAGTTTGAAAGCTTTTATTTTCTTCACCCTCCCCTCCCTTGTTATTATTATTAGAGAACTGCTTGGTAACCGCATTCGGCACGTGACTATACAGGAAGGAAGAATCCAAGATGGATGATACAGGTTGGCATCTTGATGCCTTTGATGATGGCTCTCTTAGTAAGTAAAACACTGTTATACATATCACCATACAATCCTTATAGCAAGATCATGCATCGAATTATCATTAGCTAGAATTTGATGACCAAAGCATCGTTTTATCCTGCAGGAAATGACTTTATATTCGTTGGTTTGGGCCGCTCACCCGCACGATATAAAACTTATCCTTATTTTGTTTTATATAAGTTCATGGAGGTTCTAATACAGTATTTTACCTGAAGACAAAACTTTTAGATGAGTGCATTATCTTAGCAAAAAAATAAATACTATCTTCGTATCAATTGTTTTTCTTAATATTGCCCATTTGAAGCATTCAATATATATTATAACTTACGCCTGCTTGTAGTCTATTCTTTAATATTATTAACGTAAAACCATATTCATTTTGTTTTTTATAGAAATTGTCAGCGAAACGCAGTTAAGGAAATATGGTAAATTCCTAGAGGATTATGCATCTCAGCTGAATGCGATTGAGAAAGCTCTAGATGATACAGTTGGAGAGTCTTGGGACTTGACTCTTGATCCTATCAGTCTGCAGGTACACTGATATCTACTGTAGTATGTCTAGTACATGGATACATCAAGTATAGCCAGTAAACATGTCCTTTTTACAGGTGCTTCCTTATGAGCAGACCAAAGTACTTGAACTAATCAAGACAGATAATAAAGTATGTACATTTGTTAAACAATACACAATAACACTTTATTCTAGTGTAGTGTACATCTATGCCAGTAGTACATTCACCATTCCATTTCTGGAGGTCACATGCAAGCAGAGTTTATTGTGTCTCTCCTTTGATTCGAGGGTTTTTCTCCAGACTAACTCAAGTTAGCTCTGCCCCAATCAGCCTCAGGTTGTTTCTGGGGGTTGATAAAATTTGAAGGGTTGAAGGTATAGACCAACTTGTTAAACTCCAACAATAAAAAGAAATTATATCCAAGCCAGTTAACTAGCCCAGACCATTTTGAGATTTTTAAAATAATGATTAATGATTTTAGGTGTTCAACAAAGTTATAACTGTTTTTGCTGCTCTGTGTGGAGAGATGGAAACACTGAGACATGAGGTCTGTATCATTCATCTGTTTGCTTTTTATCAGATGTTACAGCAATATGTCATGTTTTGCTAACAAAAGCATTGTGATGATAATACATGTATGTCAACCCTTTTTACAAAAGCTCTTCACAGTTACTTCATTTTACCAGCTGGCACTTAAATGACAATATAATCGCTTATGTCACACTAAGAATCGCTCTTTTGGGCTGGATGATTAATGATTTCTTATATTTTCATGAAGCTGGAATCATTCAAATAAATGATGATATTACATTACTAATGCTGTTGTATGCTGAACAGGCTGTCACTAAATTTTACACTCCATTGCTGCTGTATGAGGAAGCAGGTAGGATTACACTTTTCTTTGTGTACTTACTGGCAATATTATTTAATGTAATCTTTTTGGTATCAATCCTTTGATTATCCAGGGTCTGAGACAGAACTAGAAGAGGGAGAAGCTCAAGTCAAGATGGGAAGAATGCTGCCACTGCTACAGGTAATGAACAATGGATGCAGACTTCGCGATACACCTTATAACTGTTTCCACATTTCACATCACTCATCACTACCATGAGTATTATTTCTTTTGCTTGCCTGTAATGCTTGAAGAGGTGTTAATATGGATCTTACTCCAATAGAGAATCTTATGTTCAAAAGGTTGACATATAGACTAACAAATCTATAGCACCCAGAGAAATCAGGCTTATTGATCCCTGCGTTAGTCCACTTCCTTGTGGTAAAATACAATAATATACATATAATGGTCAAATCTAATAAAGTCGTCTTACTTGAGCTTTAAGTTGGATGTAATAACAGACATAATATCCTACATTTATTGAGCTATTCAAGTGTTTTTTTGCAGGAAATCTCTAGTTTTGTTACCCGTTGTTATGAAGTTGTCAAGAATGTACTTCAACAGCTTGGATCTCTTTACAACAAGTAAGTAACATGTAGCACGTCAGAATCACTGGCATTCATCTGTGATATAAACACACTTTCCACTTAGAAGTACATGACTAATATGGTATGCTGTGATTATATAACTTCAGAACTGGTCCTAAAGTAATAGACACAACAGGAGTTCATTTTACTGTAAGTTGCTTCACAATATACTGATATCCTCAGGACCATAACCAGGGGTCTTGCAGGGTGGGTGTACAGGGAATGTCTAAACTAACAGCCATCTTGAGAAGTGGTATAACATTACAAAGATTTGCAGAACCAAAAATAAGAAAGAATGATCAATTCAAATCAATCCAATGACCAACCTAGAATTTTCCAAAAAAAAACAATGATCTGATGATGGATGAGTGATAATAAAAATCCTACGATTGAAAAAAGTATTTGAGTAAGGCAATGAACCATCAGCCTTAGCGGGTGGGGGGGTGGCACGTACACCCAACATGCACCCTAACATGTATAACCATGGTGTTAAAGTGAACACTTGTTATTCTTAGACTGTGTTCGAGCATCTTGGTAAACTGCTTATGGTTCTCATCACACTCGATGAAATCATTGAAGCAAGCCAAACCCTCAAAGAACATTGGAAACTTTACAGGAGGTATATCTTATTACAGATTTGTGATTGTGTACATTGTACAGATGTGAATTACTAAGTCTTTCATGTTCATTAAATTCTTCCCCCATTCATTTGTGTTGAACTTCAGAATGGTAAAGTCTGTATACCACAATACTGGTATGTTTGGAGTTGAAGAAGAGAAGTTGAGACCATTTGAAAAACTGTTGATGAGTTTAGAAGGTCAGCTGTTGGATGGTGTCATTTTACAGGTTTGTTTATTTGTTTGTTGTCTGTCAGTCTCCATGGAGTATAATATTATCCAAATAACAGGATTTGTTTGTTGTCTGTCAGTCTCCAT